GTGATAATCCTGAACTACTAAAATCAAAGGGAGCTTTATAGCCCTCTACCTAGAGGCATACATTTTCAGAGCAGACACCTGGGTGAAATCCTGGTCCTAATGAATTCTACAGCAAAACTCTTATTGTCTTCAGTGGGGCTATGACTTCATCCCTAACATTCACACTTTTTCAGACGATCCCATGCTATATCTAAAATTCCAACACAAACATTTCTGTCTCTGTTTTTCATGATGCTGATCTATTTGGTCACTCACATAGACCTGAAACAGAACACACCATGCATAGTATATCTATAGAGTTAATAGGTTCACTTAAATAGGCATGTCAAAAGAGCAGCACTTCCTGTGGCAGTCCTCTTCTGAACCTTTTGGCTGCATGTCCAGGAGAAGATTGGGTAGATGGTAGAGTACAATCATGAATCAGACTGTCAGATGACATGCAGTGCAAAGAAATTAATGGACCAAAATCTTTTTTTGCCACAAATGCTTTGCAACCCTTTTTATTGTACAACAAATAAATCATAGAAGCAAGTTTCAGAGATTCTTAATCAACACATGAATAATTAATAGTAGCTTGGCATTTATATGACACCTTCTATCCAAAGACCTCAAAACACTTCAAAGGTTCAGGGAAATTTTTCTACAAAATGGGTGGTCTGAAAGTCCCAGTTTGTCTAAACTGACACATATCAATTCTGACAAATCAAATTGCCAAACAAAAATTCTAGAGGCTAATGTCTATTAAACCTAATGACCCACTTTCTACATGTAATTTCCTATCCAAACCTAGAAAGTGAAACATTTTGAGATTCCCAGCATTAATAATGCATGTATATTATTTCTCATGCTCTGTAGAAGTCAGATTTCACACAGCATCAGAGCTGAAAAGCAAGGGATCTAAACAGAATTTATTTAATCCCTTCACCGTCTATATTTAACTAATCCACTCTCTTTATTTCCCATACATGGGAACATTATCAGCCATTAGTTTTTAACAAATTAATCAACCAACTAGCAAAGACATGGGTTTTGGTCACAAATGAGATGAATTTGTTTCTCTTTATCTGATGCCTACTCTGCATTTATCCAAAACATCACCCCATTCGGTATTAATGGCATTTTATATTTTAGAGAAGCATAGCATAGGAATAGCAACAAGTTCTGGAGATAAGGACCAATGTACATACTGAAGACTTAAACAACCGATGGTGCTGTAGATAGGGATTCAGGTGTACAGACATACTTGCAAGAGAAAACTCAACAAATCTTGTCATCATTAAGCTTAAATACCAAGGATTTCTTTTATGTGCACTAACATTCCTCAGTTAAAAAAATGCAGTTAAAATCTAGCTGTGTGATCATTATAGCTGTACATTTTCTAGCTCCACTCCTGTAACTAAGTAGTTCTTTGAGTTACTACCTTGAATGAGAATGACCTGTTAGTGGACACTGCAGTGCTGTCCCACCTACTTACTATGACTGTTTGATTTTTATTTGTGATCTTCATGGGAATAACATGAAAACTTTTTAATATTATTTAGAAATTAGTGTAAATGAAATCAGCATAACTGGCACAAGCCAGGTGTTTTGTTGTGACAGGTTATTAAATATAGCCTGGAAACCACTACCCATAAAGGTCATAATTAAGCAAATTTGCTAGTGTAGAAATAATCCAGCCACTTGGAAATTGAACTAATTAGGGGCATTTTATACACTTTGTATGTGGCTATTTATTTCAATATAGAATAAATGTTAGCACTAGTGGAATAAGGGGGGAGGAGCACATTCACAAACAAATTTGCAAATTACACACATTTATGTGCTGCTATTCTTGAGGTCATAATATTGATTACTTGTGAATATTGGAACAAGCTTTAAAGGTCCCAAAAGTGTTTGTGAAGCTCAAAAGTTTTGTGTACATGTAGCGGAACTGTATTTTAGGGAGCAGGAGAAAGAACTGCCATGCAACCAACCATGTGCCATGATTAGTTAATTAATATTTTGAAAAAAAACCCTATAAAAGTTATTCATCTACTCTATTATCTATTCAAAGCCTACATTTACACTAAATTGTACTTAGTCTGCCTCAGTGGAGGGTACTAGACTTGATGACTCCTCAAGGTTCCTCTCAGCCCTATGTTTTTTATAATTCTAGGATTAGCAGTACTCGGGAATAAATCATAGTTGAATTACAAGCCAAAAAATGCCTATATTTGCTATTTTTTGCTTCAATAAATATCATTTATCAGTATTAATAAAAATGCTTTCAAATTCATTCCATGGAAGTTGTTTCATGGGATAGTTTCCATTCAAAAGTCTGACTGAAGCTGGGAAGAGAGGAAGTACAAAGTATTATCTGACCGAGTCATATGGTCATTTTATAGCTTTCATAATAAAATAAAATAAAATAAAATAAAAATGCATGGCAGGCTTAGTACAAATAAGACTCTGTTAACACAATTAAACAAGGGAAAAAACAACCAGGGTGGGAGGGTCTTAAGACAAATTAAAGCCTCAACAAGTTAATTAGCAATAGTCATCATGTGAAAATGCAAACTTTAGTGTAAAACTGACATTAACGTAGGGATGTGGGGGCAATGGAATGGACAAGGTAAAGATTTTACCTTCTGTCTAGTAGGGATGTCAATGTGTGGTCAACTACACATTAACTGATAAGCCTGAGTTTGTCGGTTAATCCTATCAACTACATACAGCGGCAGCAAGAGGGGGAGTGTATCAGAGGAAGCAAGACAAAGGAGAGGTGGGAACCAGTGCCAGTGGAGAGCCAGCTTTTAAACTGGCTCCTCATGAGCACCAAATCCCAAGGAACTGTCTGTCCCCGCCACCCTCCGCATGTATCGGCTGGTACAGAGTCACTTGCCCTGCTGTGCTACTGCCTTTCTATCGGAGGCACCAGTGTGGTAGTGTAGGGGCAGGAGGGAGCCGATACACATGGGGAGCCAGTTTTTAAGCTAGCTCTCCACACGCGCTGACTCTGCGAGCCTCCTGCTCCCCCTCATACTGCCTCCCACAGAGGCAGTGGAGGGAAGGGGGGCAGGGAGGAGTCACCTGTCCCTCCCCACGGCTGGAGCAGCTTCTGTCCTTGGTGGGCCCAAGCTCGATGCAGACAGAGGCTGCTCTGTGGGATGCTGGCACAGCCTCTGTCTGTGGGGAGCTCGGCCCCCTGTGGACAGGGGTTACTGCCCCCCGGGTTGTTACCTTTGTGTCAAAGGCAGCAGAGTGGGATGGCAGGTGGGAGCCAGCCTCCAAGGGGAGCTGGTTAAATGGGCTCCTTTCATTGTTGCCCCTGTTACAAAGGCAGCAGCGTGGAGTTGCAGGGGGCTCTCCTGGAGCGGAGCCAGGAGTATACTGGCTGCTGACCTGCTGCAGGGGACTACTGAATAATCGTGTAACCACTAAGATTTGATCTAACTTCTCTACTGACCAGACAGACATATATATACACACACACACGCATTGGAAATTTCAGGAATCAGACAACTTAAAGGTGAAAAAAATGCAGAATGTCTTTGTGTGTTTCTGTGTGCATATACATTATACACACAAACACATGACTTTGCATTTGTAGTTTTTTTCTCCTTTAAGTTGCCTGATGCCTAAATTATTTTAAATGTCCTGTAGTAACATCAGTAGCAATCCTAGTGGCAGGAAATCATTAAAATACATTTCTCTGGAATCACAAAGAAAAAAACCCCAAACATGAGTAATTGCAGAGAGCAGCTGGGAAGGAGGTGGTTGGGAGCAACTTTACATAACTGATTCATTAACCCTTCCTTCCATATTCTACAATAAATCCCTGGTGTTTATATGAAAGAAATAACATATATTATTATAAGATAAGAGCTCATTTGGTAGCAGGTAGGTCAAGGTATTATGCTACTCAGGTATCAAAAGAGTATATGAGGTTGAGAAATGGTCCAAAAAAGTATAGATAGGAATAATGGCATGCAACTGAGCCCAGGAAATTTAGGATGGATGTGGGGAGAACTTAGGTTTATTAGACTGTCAGAAGGCTCCAAAGGAAAGGAAGCTGTGGAAGCCCTCTCATTTGAGTAGTGTATGTACAAGGTATAAAAGGCTGGAGGGAGCAATCTTGCCTTGGCCCCAGAAGATTACTGAATGATTTTAAAAGATCTTTATCATCTCTAATTTCTAGGATTCCCTTACATATCTCCACTTTAACCTGACTGCAAATCTGATCCCTGCTCTCTCCCCTGCTTCTTGTCCATCAAGTGACTTTAAATTAAGAATGAAGTGTAATGGCTTCTCTTTGTTTAGGGGGGAGAAATTGCCACCCTTTTTACATCTCCTTCCCCCCCCTCCCCACAGATCCAAGCATATTCCCTGGCTAATTTGCTAGGCAGAGACAACACATCGTGCATTCTATACTCAAATATATTGACAAACATACCTTGCTAGTCTGTAACAATGATTGTGTGCAGGGGGGTAATAAAGGGCTGGTGTGTGTGGTGAAGGGCTGCTGTGTGTGTGTTCTAAAGGACTGCTCTGTGTGTGTGTGTGTGTGTATGTGTGGTAGAGAGCTGGCGCCTGTGTGTGTGGTAAAATTCTGGTGTGTGGGGTAAAGGGCCAATGTGCCTGTGTTGTAAAGGACTGCTCTCTGTATGTGGTAAAGGGCTGGTGTGTGCGTGGTAAAGAGTTGGTGTGTGTGTGTGTTGTAAAGGACTGGTGTGTGTGTGTGTGATAAAGGACTGGTGTGTGTGTGTGTGTTGTAAAGGACTTCTCCCTGTGTGTGGTAAAGGGCTGGTATGTGTGTGCGTTCTAAAGGACTGCTCTATGGATGTGTGGTAAAGGACTGGTGTGTGTGTGTGTAGACACACACTCCCGGGAAGCTAGTAGGTCCGTCATGAACAGTGCTTTCGGAGGAGAGCTAAGACCCAACCTCCACCTGCCCTGCCTGCTGCAGGGCACATGCTGTGAATAAAGCCAGAGACACATTGGGGGAGGAGAGGTCACATTACCTTGGAAACCGGCTGGAGAGTCCTCAGCCACCACAGGGGAACAGGCGAATCAAAGCGCAGGCAACGGCAGCAGCAGCAGGAGGGGGGAAGTTGAGCCGCAGGCTCTCAGGTCAGCACCAGCAGCAACAACCCAGAGCGCGAGGCACAGAGCCGCTGCCCCTAAGCGGTCCCCGAGTGAGGACTCCAGCTCTCTCCTCCTCCCCTCCCCTCGGAGGAAGGGAGCAGTGCAAGAGCACCGCCTGATTGGGCAGCATCCTGCCTGAGGAGGAGAGGCAAGGACAATGGGGATTGGCTGGAGGGGGGATGGGAGGAGAGGGGAGGGGGTGCCCCTTCTCCACTCTCACCCAAAACTGCTGCTGGCCGGCTCTGGTGCGGTACCTAGGTTCTCACCTCCAGGGCTCGCTGCCTTTTCATATTTGTTCATTTGTTTAATTGTATCCTTTGGTATATACTGTTGTGACTACTTTCTTCCACTATTTGATCTGAGGAAGTGGGTCTGGCCCACGAAAGCTCATCACAATGATTGTGTGCAGGGGGGTAATAAAGGGCTGGTGTGTGTGGTGAAGGGCTGCTGTGTGTGTGTTCTAAAGGACTGCTCTGTGTGTGTGTGTGTATGTGTGGTAGAGAGCTGGCGCCTGTGTGTGTGGTAAAATTCTGGTGTGTGGGGTAAAGGGCCAATGTGCCTGTGTTGTAAAGGACTGCTCTCTGTATGTGGTAAAGGGCTGGTGTGTGCGTGGTAAAGAGTTGGTGTGTGTGTGTGTTGTAAAGGACTGGTGTGTGTGTGTGATAAAGGACTGGTGTGTGTGTGTGTTGTAAAGGACTTCTCCCTGTGTGTGGTAAAGGGCTGGTATGTGTGTGCGTTCTAAAGGACTGCTCTATGGATGTGTGGTAAAGGACTGGTGTGTGTGTGTGTAGACACACACTCCCGGGAAGCTAGTAGGTCCGTCATGAACAGTGCTTTCGGAGGAGAGCTAAGAGGAGTACGGATTAC